TCCATAACAAACTCAGTAACAGAACATGAATGAGAAGGAAAGATTCTGGTAACACCTTCTTTATTGCCAAATCCCATTTACAAGGAAAATTTCTATTATTTATTCCAGTTCAGGTGTTCAATAGCAATGATTCATGATTAATATCAACAAATATATAGACTCAGCTGTAAAAACTGAATAGTTTCAGATACATACACCAACATTTTCTTAAGTTCACTTCTCTCCAGACACTGATATATATTTTCCCCTCAATTTAAATGAACAAAATGTACGCTCACATTTATTTAAAACGTTTAATGTAAGCTACACTAAATAGTTTACCTATATTGCATGTAGAAAAGACATTTTAGAGTTAAATTCACCCTGGGTTTGGAGTTTAAAATATAGTGCGTGTCCAAACCTATTTTTAATTTTTTTTTTTTCAATTCAAGTACAGTTCATAAAATCACTAAATTATATTTCATAAGAGGACAGTACTTTTTGTTCAGAGTGCCTTCCAATATACGTTCTAAGCTGCAAAATGGTATGAAATAAAGCAAAATGTTTGCAGCCCAATTAAATAATAAAAGTCACAAAGCCAAATCTTTGCAGGTAAAAAGGTTTTAAATTATGCCCTGAAGATGCAATACTCCTCTGGGGTTCCTTGAAGATGCAATGGTTTCAAAGACAGTTACATGATATTGTATTTACTTGAATCCAAGATAGGGGACCCCCCTATTCAACATGGGGTAGAAAGTCCCCCATCTTGGATTTGAGTAAAAGGCAGAGGATTTGGTCAGCTATCGCTCTAGCTCTGGCTCCAGCTCTGATCTGGCCTCTGGGTCAGAGTCAAAGCTGCAGCTGCTGCCTCTGCTGCCACCTTCTCCCTCCCCACTGCTTACCCTCAGTCATTCTTCTGGCTCCTGCCCCTCTCTGGCCTGGGGCATGGAGCACATGGTGGAGGCACAGACACCAAAGCAGGGGGGTGTGGAGGGCAGGTGGCAGGGTCTTCTGACTCCTCCCTGCTAACACTTTCTCCGCAGCAGCAGTGAGGGGGAAAAATTTAAGACGATCTTTGAATAAGATTTTCTACATGGAAATTCATAACAACTGCATACTTTTCCTATGTCTAGAATCTAATTATTTGGAGGCTGTTTGAAATTCAAAAGTTGTCTTAGATTTAAATACAGTTATATGGAAAAGCCAGGCTTTCAGGGCTTCAAGGGAATCATCCATCATTTGCAGAAAGTAAAACCTTACTCAGTTCTGGCCTCTCTAAATTGTCTTCATGTGCACTATAAATATTTCAGTTGCAATTAGTCCTTATATTCACATACAAGCTAAGGACTATTTATGCACAGTCACATGTTCTCCATCTCAGCTTTTGCACAGTCATTTACACCTGAGCATTACTGTGGAATAGTGTAAAGGACTATCTCAAGTCCAACCGCAGAAAAGAATAAGACTCAAAGGACTCCTTATCTTAAGCCAATGCTGAGAACACAATGTACCAGCCTGTACCTTATTTAACTTCCTATAATTTTCTTCAAAAGACAATTTCAATTAAGCAAATACCATTAATCATTACTTACACTCATTAAGCCTTGTGTGGTTGCTTAGTTAAATCAAGGAACTTTATACAGACTCATTTGTTGTGTTACATGACATGCACAGACCAACCAGACAATCATTGGAATGGTTTAAAAATATATTTTGAACAGAAGTCAAATATTCTAATTCATTATATTAGAATTTTGCTAATCCATGTTAATAACTGGGGAACCTATTATGAAATCACTGAGTGCTGCATATCACCATATAATAAAAAGGCTGCAACCTACATTCATACTTTGACAAGTGCACTTTGGTTTAGGTTGTAGGTAACCTACAAATTAGGTTACTCGTACTTATTTACCAGTAAGAACAAGTGCTTACAGCAACATCAGACTGACTATATAAAAGATCACAGGAAACTCATATGACAGCAAACATGGGTAAAGTTTGAATTTTATGAAATGGCTTCAAAATTATTTGATCTAATGGACTGCTAGCTAACCTACACATATGCTTTTATTAGTTTCCCTTATTTTAGAAATAAAATCCAATTCCTATTAGCAAAATTGCACTCAATTACAGGGCAACTACTGAATTTCTTGAATGGTTGAAAGTAATCATCTAAGGTCACTTTCCACAACAGTGTTGGAATGGCATCTAATCACATCCTATTCCTTAATTAAAAAGATTATAACAACTTTTAAAACCTTCTGGCTGCTGCTGATTTTGCTATAACCAAACCATTTTAACCTTCAATATATTTTAAAACTCTGCACACGTAAGATAGCAGTGACACTTCAGAACTAAATCCACAAAGGAACACATTCTCTGTTCTCTTGCTGCCATGCATAGGATTTACACGAGCCACTACCTAAACTGTGAATATTAATCCGGGCTTCGCCCCTCCCAAATTCTAAAGTTCGGTCTTTCTATTCACTGAAAAGTATTTAGACTAGGAGAACATTGGGGCGGAAAGAAAAGGAAAAAGCATGGAACAGGTCTGAGGAAGGGTAAAATAGCTCTCATTAAAATCGTAACATCTTGTGTTTCATCAAATCTGTAACATGAAACCCATGGGCTAGGAAAGAGCAAAAGATATGTTCAATATGCCACTGACTCCTTTGGCTTGCCTTGTCCACGAGAGAAGAATAATTCATAGGGTTTTGTCCACAGTATTTGAGTGATTTCAGATTCAGTGTTTTGGTTTTGGCTGTACGAGAACGTGCTATTTCTATAACAATTCTTGTCCAGCCCCACGCCTGTGAGAACTACACTGAAAATACCGAGTCAAAGAACATTGCAACTAGCAACTTGCCATTTGATCCGTTAAGAAAACAGTGAGGTCACACTGATTCAATCAATTTTTGTTTATAAGAAAATTAATTTGTGGCTGATGTGCTAATGCTTTCTTGGTTGTGCTTCCTTTTTACAGTGAAAGGGACTAAGGAAGTAGCTTGTAAGTTTTTCTGATAAGAGAAAGACAGATACAATTCTCTTCAAGGAATAGCAGATGAGTAACAGTAAAGAGATGAAGAGATTTTCAAACCACTGATGTTTCAGTACCTCCTGGAATTCTACCATGTGAACTCTCCTAAGGCAGCATTAAGCATTGCCAATTTTTATTAATATATTTTAATATTAGAATTAAGATGCCTGAACAATTAGTTGTTTGCATGATACAGTAATTTAGTCATGCAGGATGGATTTATGATGTATACTTATAGCTATCCCAGTAAACACTCAGAGGCTGGGTACACCTTATGTTGGCAAAAGCAGTTCTGCAAACTTAACTACATATAGGGGCTTTAGCCAGCACAAATGTATTTGGGTGCAGACAGAAGTTATATTTTTCACGGAAGCGTCCCCTTGAAAGCACTCTATAGCCATGCTATGACACGTGCACAGCTGCAGACAGCTTTTAAAGTGGCTGATTGCATGAAAAATAAACCCTCCTCAAATGAGGTATCAGATGAAGTGCTCTACTTTACAGCAGCTTATGGAACTTGTGCTCCCTAGGGTTAATTTGACGTGCAGTCAGGGCTGGGCTGATGCAGCCCAGCTCCAGCTCCAGCTCCAGCTCCAGCCCCGGGGCTGTCAGCAGGAAGGCAGGGAAGAGGGGGACGCCAGCAGCAGCTTTATGTAAAGTGCCATGAGTTAGAGCAGGGACCTGCACGTCCGTCAGTGCCTTTAGAGACCACTCCTCACCACACCCCTAACCTACAGAGCCATGCCAGCAGACATTTATTTTATTTTATTTTCATTTTAATTACTATATTTTTGATGAATTTTAGACACAGCAACGTGCTTGTGAATATACCCTAAGAATGGCCTAAGAAATATGGGTGTGCTATCTTCTGATCTGTCTGGCCCCACCTTTGAAAACAGCAACAAAACCCAACTCTCCTTTCCTTTGGGGTTTGTATCACACTTGTAGAATCAGACCTTCCATTACACAAGTTCAATGCCTACTCCTGTTTATTCCTATGGGCTTCAACAGGACAGTATACAAAAGTTGAATCTGGAGTGAAAACTGACTTGATCTGCCACAACTCCTGACACATTCTTTATACATTTTGTCAACAGTAATCTAATTCATAAAGAAAACACACTGAAAAAGTGAAACCACATATACACTTAGGACTATCTGGTGTCACACACAAATACAAACTTAAAAAAAACAACAACATCCAGCTTATGTATTCCTTCACTAAGAGTTGGACAGATGTAAATTGTAGGATGAGTCTGAATATAGATACAGATACTTGAAATGTATAAATTTGGAGTCCAGTTATATTACTACTGAAATCAAGCTCTCTTCCTGATTTCAGTGAGGACAGGATCTGACACATTGTCTATGTTGATGGATAAAATAAGAGTGAAACAAATGGCTGTTAACTTTTGAGAGCTTGGGAGGATTTCTAATGTGATCTATGGAGCAATAATTACTCCTTGAAAGTTTTACTACCACTTTAAATTAACAATCAGGAGGAAACTTGAATTCCATTAGCGTATGAATTAATTCAACAAAGAACATGCCAAACCACTGCTGATTTTTATACTACCCAAAGTCTTCAATATTTTCAGTATTATGATTTACACGCAAAAACAGGCAGCCATCAGGTCAAGATCACATTCAAAAGAGTTTCATTTGATTAACATCAATGACTGATTGGGGTTAGACAGAAAAATCAATGCCTTCCCTTTTGAATTTCACCCTTCCAAAGCAAGTATAGTTTGTTGTACAAGGTGCTTTCCTGTTGCGCTGGAGATGGAAACTTAGAAAAAAATCAAGTAGGATGAAATAAAAGCTCTTATTTCTTCTCGCAAGTGATTTCATCATACCTCAGCTGTGTTGCAGTTTGACTGTCAGAAGAGAACAAAAACTAAAGCAATCCCTTATATTGTAGAAATTCTGCATTTTAGAGTATTTCACATTCCCATATAGATAATTCTGCAACAAAAGTACATGAGACTACTCAAAAATCCCTTTTATTAACCTGAATAAGCCTTTTAATTGTTAAGCCAAACAGAGTTGTTTAATTAAAAATATGTTTGATAGATATGGATCTTGTCGTGACTCAAACATTGAAATAAATAATACACACAGCAGACACAATAATAAAGTTTACAATCTTATGAATACAATACTGAAAATAGCCAAGTCTGCTATTTTTAATACAGCCCGTGCCAAACTTTCAAAAGCTGGAGAACAACAATTTAGAAAATGTGTCTCAAATAGAAATAGCATCTCTTGTACTATATATTTTTTTTCTAGAAATACCATGCCTGTTTTCAGAGAAGCGGTGATAAAATATCATGAAGCCAAGGCATCCTAATGAGGTTTCTTCACTTCAGTATAATACAGTACAGATTCTGCAGATAACATGGTTCATGAAGTAGTATGAAGAAACTAGATACTTCTGAAGTACCTTTCATAGTCAGTTTCTCTTGCTTTTATATAAGAACAGGAAGTATCATGCCAGGAAATCTAACCAGATTTCTTTCAACTTAAAAATGCTGAATATTTATTTAAAAAAGCTTCCCATACTTTAAATTTAGAGCTATTTATCAGAGGGCCTCTACTTGTGGATCATCTCACCTTTGAGGCTTGTTAAGTCTCATCAGCCCTGCCAAAGAAAAATATCAGTTGCCTTCTCTTCACTGCTCATCATGGGCTGCTGGCTGACTCTGGGCAGAACACTCTTCTAACTCTGTCACTCTGCAAACTTCTGACTGCAAAGAAGACTGAGGAATGCAGCTGAAAGTATGAATGCTGTGTGGATCAACTGGTGGGACCAGTGTAAGTGACTCTACGCTCAGTGCATCTGTATTGTCATCTGAGATTAGTGATATGGTGGGCTGTTGGGCAGGAATCAGGCTAGGGGATAAGTTTGCTGTTTCTACTTCACTGGTCTTTACAGGGTTTTTTCCAAATTGTGAGCCAGATGAAAGGGTTTCCTGAACCAACATCACCTGACTGGAGAAGTTCATCTGAGGCTGCTCAGGAGCTGAAGAGTCATCTATTAAAGAAAGCATTAGGAAAGAATTAACGTTAAAGTTGTGCTCAATTCATGTTATACACACTAAAGTAAGGCTTCTTGATAAATACTTAAGAAAAACTCAGGCAGAAGACAATGATCTATGAAGCAATATGCTTATGCATTTATCCTTTTATAATTATGAAAAAAATCTTGGAATTACTTAGCTATATTAACATGAAATGCCTGGTCTAAGTTCTTCACATTAGGGACAACTATTAAATACTAAAAATGGGTAAAAAAAAAAGAGTTAATGAAATGTGACAGTAACATCAATAATATTCTTGGTGGGATGAAGTGGAAGAGAATAGAAAAGAAAGGCTAAGGTTTATCTAAGGACAATGATGTAAGCTCACACAAAGAAATTCTTTGAAAAGAAAAAGAAAAAAAAGAGTTCAGTTCAATTTCCCATGAAGAAACCTGATTCTAGTGAACTTGTGACGCAGTCAAACTTCTAAACAGTCTACTACCAAATCCTAAATTTAGTAAGAATTCAACCAGGGGAGCCAGCCAGAGAAGAACAGAAAAGAGATTAACTCTTCAGAGCCTTAAGGCAAGCATGCAAGCCTGCATTTATTCCTTTTGCACTCTGGTGCTCCTAAGTACTGAAGAAATAGCATGCAGGGAGACAGGGATTTAGTTACCCTCTAACAGGGGCAGGCAATTATTTTGGGCAGAGGGCTGCTTACTGAGTTTTGGCAAGCCATTGAGGGCCACATGACAGGCAGCCCAGGGCAGATAAATATTAATTTCCTAAATTTTTTACAGGCCCCGGGGGCCAGATAGAATGGTCTAGCTGGCCGCATCCGGCCCCTGGGCTACATTTTGCCCACCCCTGCCCTATAAGATACAAATCTACCCTGCCTTACACTAGGGGGTTAACATGGAAAACTCTTTCAGTGTTATGGTAGAGGATTTACCACAAAAAGAAAACCCATTTTAGCATCTACCATTACTTTAATTCTTCTTAAAAACCATAGGTAAGTAACATGTAAAGTGTTAATGTGATTGAAAGAATATTGCACAGGTGCAAAGATATCTGGCTTTTGTCCTAAATATAAAACACTCCCCCTGGGCAGGCAATATCCATTACTTCACATTAGCATAACAGACAAACGTCCACTTTATAAGAAACTATTTTCATGTCTCTCTTCTTGGACAAGATTAACAGTTAGCGTATGTTCAAGTGTTCAAGGCACTTCCAGAATTATTTTCAAGGCACTCTAGTGAACAAAGAGTCCCAAAGGGCTATGTTTTAATCCTTATCTTGAAATACATTTTCAGTAGGGTGCCAGTAAATCCTGTAAAAACAGAACATGTAAAACTTAAGGCAAAACAAGGAAAACCAAAGCGTAGAATGTAATGACAAGATAAGAATAGTCACACCAAAGAGAGGAAAATCAGTGGTTTGAGGTATGGATGAGATATATGGTTTTTACTGCTTCTATTGCCAATTTTTCATAATTCTGTAACAAGACTCCAAACTGCATATTTCCACTTCAGAAAAAACACTTAATTTCACATTTGTTGACAGCTTCTCCTTTAAAAAAAGAAAAATCAATATAAATTATAGGAAAAAAATCTTGCCTCCAACAAGGTATTACCTTGGCTGTCTTCTAATAGCTAGTGCTTATGCAAAATAACTTTGCAGATCTTTCTCATTAGCTGCAGAAAAGCTTTGATGAGAATATGGTACAGGGTAATAGAGGAAATGATGCAAGAACTGCATGAACAAAAAAGTGCTAAGAAAATCTGAACATGCAGTTTCTCTGAATTCCAATGAAAACAACATTTTAATAAAGTCCAACCAGCAGTTCACTCTGTAGTAGTGCAACAGTTTGAATGACTGCGGTTTTTGATATGTAATAGTACAAGATATCAGGTCCAGGATATTCACCTTTTTTTTCGGTAATCCCCAACATGAAACTTTTTAATACGTTAAAAATGCTTATTACTAAAATTTAGGTGTCAGGTATATTAGTCATTTTGGTAGGTGCAGTGCATCAGTCAGTGATATTCTGCACACAGAAGGTGCGTCTACACCCTTAATGCGCCTTATATTGGGCTAATGCTCATTAAATGCACATGTGCATACATGCCCAGAGTGTAATGTAAATCATGTGCTGCCACTCCTTTTAAAAAATCCATTAAAAAATCCTTTACTTTCTAGTTCTAGTCTTGTTTTAATTTTATGCATTTATCCCCACATAGAACCTTTGATATAAACCTACATATTTTTATGAATTAATATCTTATTATTGAGAAGCGAAGCACATTCTTTAATTTGAAATATTGTATAGAAGGCCTGAAGCAGTATAGCATAATAAATGTTAAAAATGACTGTCACTTTCTATATGCTTCAATGGAAGAAATAAATGGTGGAAAATAATTCTTTCTAGAATGCGTCCAAAACCAAGAAATACATTTTTCTATTCAAAACTCTGAAAAAGAAACTCAGAGAAATGATTAGAAAATAGAACTGAAAATGAGCAGTACAAATACAGCCTACCCTTGAAGTAGTCTAGCTACAGTATTTTAAAATAGAATTTAGGAAAATATTCTGTATTTTCTGCAACACTTGTTATTGATAGAAGAAATTTCTCTCTCAACATTTACTTTTGATAACCCATTAGTAACCCTTGAACTTATTTCCTTTACTGTAGTGCTAACTATTTAAGGGTAGTGGTGAAAAAACTGCTGCAGCCAGGCAGGGCAACTGCCAATGCTAACTATGGATTAGTGAAAAAATATTCTGAGGAACGGGGAGACAATGAATGACAGTACAAGGGCTACAGTACTAACATGACAAAAGTTTGATTTCTCTAATGAAGATCAATAGCTTACATTAATTTAAGCATATGATCTGCATCTATATGATTATAAAAAGCTCAAAATTAAGATTTTTGTATTTGGGAGGCACTCAACATTTTAACATAAGAATCATTTGATTTTTCTCTGTCAACCAACAGAACTAATAAGAGCAGGGGCCAGCAACCATTTCAAGCTGTGGACTGGAACAACCCAGCTTCAGTCTGGCACAGAGGGTGGTTCAGCAGGACACCAATGGAAACAGGTGTTTGTCTGTACCTGTGCACGAGGGACCAGGCGTACGGGAGCTGTGCTGACACCATTTTCTACAGCTCCCCACTACTCAGTTGGGATTCCAGCCAGAGAGGAGCTGCGCCAGCTTTGCTTAAAACTACAGCAGCACTGCTACTGCTTCACACACTGCCCAGCCTGGGTGCCCTTATGGAGGCTACGCCCACACTGCAACCAGGAAGTGGCAGGTAGGGAAATGCAGTGGCGACGAGGGGACACCTCCCTGCTGCCTAGCCCCAGCACAGGTGCGGGCAGAGGCAAAGCCTTCTGACACCATGGGCTAGACCTGGCCCACAGACTGTATGTTGCTGACCCCTGAATGAGGGCATTAGGGAAAAACCAGACTATAAAATATCTTAGCATATAAATCTGTAATATTACATACATATGTATAATAGATATCAGTGTTACTTTGATGGAAAAGGTTACGTGAGTGTCCCTCAGAAGTACTGTCAAAGCTACTGTACTTAATTTCAACAGTGAGAGAATCCAATAGGCACAAATTTCAAAATGGCTGGAACTTGGGCAGTTAAGCATGCAAAGCATCTAAGTATTTGCATCTAAACCAAACCTCCAGAATCTATGAAACTGGATGGTACATGCAAGACTCATCATAATTTCTGCTTCTGGTGCAGTTGAAAATACTGCATGCCCCCTCTACACATTACAGTTATTGAACAATTAAGTGGTTAATTGCACAATTACCTGGAGAGCAGCTACATGTGCAAAGTAGCTATCACACAATAAAAGCCCCAGCCAGCTATAAAGTTAGACCTTGAAGATGTGTACTTTTGTGTGTCAACTTCATACCTAGTTGCTTTTGAGCTTTAATTTGCATGTATAGCAAGATCTGCCCTGTAGCTGGGAGTCCCATCAGCTGACAGAGCTCCCAGCCACAGGGATTCACCATGCCCAGAGTAAAATCCCCGAGCTCTATAGATCCCAGTAGTTGCAAACCCCAAGGTCCAGACCCTGAGCTCTAGGGATCCCAACAGCTGTGATCCCCGAGGTCTGGTGGTTTTCTGTACCTCAAGCCCCAGGGACTTCTGCAGCCATGATCCTCTGGCCCCTGGCATTTCTCTGCACCCCCAGGACACAGGCTGGGGGGAGGGGGGCCACTCCTGTGGCAATCCTTGTGCCCTGGGGGTTTCCCTGCACCTTCAAGGTGGGGAGATGGTCACAGCAGCAGTGATCCACCAGCGCCAGGGATGCATGGGGACCCACTATGGCTGTGAACCCCTCAACTGGGGTGCATGGGGCTCCCAGCTGTGGAAGCTTGCCAGTGTAGGGGGAACCCAGGATTGAGCTTCCCTTGCACCAGCCATAAAGCACAATTGGATCTAATGTGCTATCCCACAATCGCATCTACTGCTAGGCACATGTGGCATGGCAAGAGGTGCAATTGTGCGAATTACACATTTGATCCCATTGCGCTTTTAGCTTGATGTGTAGAGGGGGCCTCAGGAATACGGTATATCGTTTCTTTGAAGATATCTGACAAGAATCCCTTTCTTTTATGTCAAGCTCCTATCAGGTCTCTAAGTCTGGTTACCAATTAAGATGCCAGAGAATATCAAGGTATCTTTAAAGAAAGATTCATCTCATGTTATGTGACATTTCCAAATAACCATGGGAAAATATTAATCAGAGTTTTTCCACATGCAAAAGATTTTGTTCCATTTTGGGGATTTCTTTTTTGCTGAGCTAGTTCAACAGTTGCTGAGGCATACCATACTCCTGAATCTGAGCGTGCTGTGCTAAGATGGAGAAAATGCTTAAAAAAAAAAAATTATATAGCAATTTTAATTCTCATGCATTTGCAAAACTTGTGATTATGGTTTGCAGACAAAGGCTGAATCCTGCAAGGTGTTGGGTGACCTTAA